AATATATATATATATATATATATATATATATATATATATATATATATATTTATATGTATGCGCTATGCGTAAAAGTAGACGCTACGCTCGTTCACTTGTTGAACGGGCCTACAATTGAACAAAATGGGTCCGTCTTGCGAGCAGATTTTTCGAAATTGTGCAACCTACGGTGGAATTTGGTTGGTAGGTATACGAATAAAAGGTATATTTAATTAATAGATTAAACGATGGAATAAACGGTTCACTTGAGACGACGATATGGCAATCGGTTCAGGTTGCAATATCCACGTGACGATCTCGCTGCACGGTGGTTGGGTAAACGAGCCGTTGTACGTGTAATAATCCCTTTCGAAGGTTGGAAAAATCCATAACAGCGGGAAAGGAGGAATGTGCACCTTTGTTCCAGGTTGAATAATACGCCACAGATTTGTCACGATGTGGTCCAAGTAAGGATTGTCTGCGTTCGTAATCTATATAAGAAATATCCTTAAATATCGTACGTTACGAAGATATTTCTCTCTCTTTTTTTTTTTATGCACATTTTTTTAGATCAATACAAACGAGATTGAACCTGAAAGAAGAACGAAACGATCAATATGCCGTCGTTTTCTTTAGCCGTGATCGCGTCCAGCAACGAGTTGAAGCCACGTTTTATGTGCCACACTTGTAGCTCCATAGGAAATCGAACGTAATCGAACGTATGCTCGCTACCTTCGTCGTTCGAGTGGCCCCAGTGAAACACCATGGAACAGATGTCGTATACGTTGGTCAAGCATCCACCTTGGATGTACGGTCGAGTCGAGCTGCTCCACATCGTGTTCAGTACCACTGGAAATCGAGTACGAAACGATTGTTAAAAGCGGATAAAAGGATCGAAAAGGCCGATAAAGGAAAAGAAAAATCGGGATCGACTCGAATGGTGATAATAAATAATTTTGCTTATTGAACCGTTGGTGGGAAAATTGCACCGTTATTCTCGTTATTGGTTATAGTCATCGATAATGGCCCTTTGTCATAGCCGGTCCATCGAAGAGGTTCGGACGGTTGCACCACAACGGCGAGCCGCGTTGCGACGTTGATAGGCGACTGATTGCTGCCATTACTGTCGGGATACAACATTTTCCACATGTGCGGCCCGTTGCGGTCCGCGTAACCGAACGTGTACCGTGGAAAATTGCATTCTTCCGCCCAGGGGAACAATTGGGTCCAGTCGAGGACCTCGGTCAGTAGTAAAACTTGAACAAATTTAAATTTAAAAACGTTAACGCATGGATTGGAAATTGGTCATGAAATAGGTCCGGCTTACAAATGAGGAGGACACTGCTACATAGTATCATGAATTCCGACACTGAAATGTTTATCATTTTCAACGATCGTCCCCGATCTATTTACGTTCGACGCGACGACACTTTGACGAAACTCGTTTGAAAACGTTTGCCCGACCCGATACATGGATAGACAAACGGATAAGGATAACAAGAATTTTCACTTGACAATTTTAAAAACGTTCGACAAGATTAACATGTTTTTTGGGTTAATCGTTGGGAAAAATGAACGAGCAATGATCGAGGGAGCAATATCTATCGCATAATTCCTATCGCGTACAACTTCACGCTTGACTACACAACCGCCATCATTTAATTGTTCACATCTCGATATTACTGGTATATAGATATATCTGATATACGTCTCTCGTTTCCTTTCAGACTGGGTTGGAAAAAAAAAGTTAAAATTAAAAAAGTTCAAAAAAAGCGCGATGAAAATGTCCACCATGTCGCACGATGTAAGTAAATCGTGGTATAATCACGCGCAATGATCAACGTGTCGAAGACAGATGATGCGATATGAGTGAAGTACAGGAAATGGAGTGCGCCGGTAAGAAATTTTCTGATTCTAAAAAGGGGAGAC